TATGACAAAATCCATTGTACTTGTTCCCTGTCCCTTTGGTGGAATGAAACTCATAAATGGTCTCATTGACCAAATCAAGGGCGGACTATGTATGTACAGACTCTGGGAAGGATCTATACGCTTTGTATTTCTCAGTTACCAAACCAGAGGATGCCATAAAGTGAGAAGGGGCAAGTACAAGACGATGACATAGGAACATCAGAGAGTTCACGTTTAATAGAGTAGACCATTCATCTGAAAGTCTCTCGAGTTCTCTACAAAAAGCTAGCACCATCTCCCTGAACGGAAGATCCATCATCAAAAGAAGGGATAGAACAATCAAAGCACAAGAAGGAATGGGCCTTCTCTTTGAAGCTGGAGAGCAAAGTCCATCATGACATTTTATAAAATACGTCTAGGTGCCGAGGAGATAGCATCCCGTTCCCCTTTTTTTGTTACCTTCACTGACTCTGATGCTAATGATAGGATGATGGTATTTCTTTTCAATTAGATAAAAAAAAATGGGTCATAAAATGAATCAACGCCTTTATATCTTCTTTAGTAGAAGATTCTTTAAGATTGCTTTGACCCAAAAAGCCTGGCCTTCTTCGACATAAGCTGGTGCGCTATATGGATCAAAGAAGGAATGGATGGATTAGGTTGAAATGAATAGTTTAACGGCCCCTTAGACCTATGAAATGCAAAACTCCTCCAACCTGAAGGAGCTGATCATAACTGACCACTCTGATGTCTACAGGCCTACTAAAGGTATGTATGGTCTGAGCCTGAGGCAGTCTCAATTGAGACCCAGATGAGTTTTAGGGGCCAGTGAGGGGATTTAATTGACTGAAAACATCAGGTGCTAGGACCTGTATTGAACCATCTAATCCAAAGTTTCATCTATTGTCGTAGAAAGAGATATTGAAAATTGCGAATTGTCCATTTAACTCCTATCTGACCATAAATCTGAAATAGTGGCTGAACTCCACGGAGAAAGACCAAGGTATAAATCTTCTCTTCTATAGTCCATCACAATAACTACTAGTACCAATATTACCTTTCAAAAATAACTTAAAAATACCAAAATCTTTTGTCAATGCAATTTCCACAACTCTAGGATTCAATTTTTCTGTAAATTTCCACGTGCTATTGCTGCACTAGGAACTGGAAAGGTGTTGACGTTAACGGGCACGGATGTGTCACATTTGGTTGGTATTTCATATGTCAAGTTTTCTTTGTTACTGTTGTACGTGTCTTTCTGGTTTATGTCAACTTCCAGTGGACTGTTATTTAAATATATGATGGTACATTGTAACGCACTTATTGTTTTAGGTTTGGACACAAAAATCTAAATATTACATCTTAAAAGTATATTGGATACTCCTAGATAGCAAGAGGTGTCAAAACGTTGATGGTGTTAATTGCAATTTTTGATAATTAATAATAACTGACACGTGCCTTATATACTTTTACAACAAGTACATAATAATATTTTATTCATAAGCAATACAGCTTATAGAATATACATTTTTATATCAAATTTTTAAATGCATCAGTGTAATATTTATAACAATAATTATACAAAATACACATATGGTGGAGAATGTCAATAAATTAATATGATTAATAAGTAATACAACTACAATGTACGTATTACGGATTTTTTCGATATTGAACAAAATTTTACCTAAATTATTAAGTTCTTTCACATTGTGAACTAATAACAACTGTATAAGTTTAAAAGTTGATGGTTTTTGCCAATAATATTTATTAATATATTGTTTTCTTATATCACTATATCTATTACATTCTACAATCAAACTGTATTCGTCTATATTGCTATTGCACATAGTACATAATCTATTTTCTTTATCTACATTGTAATATCTGCCTGTCTCGATATTGAGGCTATGGGCAGAGATACGATATTTACATATATAAGGTTTATATATTTTATTAACAGGTCTATCTAAATAGAATTGCAATATATCTGTGTCATATATATATATCTATAAAGTATACATTTAGATGAATTGTTAAAAAACGCATTAACTGCAGTGATAAAAGTATCTTTCATTCGTTGTTTAGCTCATGTATAAATATATCAACATTATTTACGCATTGGTTTAGCCATACATCATGAAAACCATATTTACATAAAATATCTCTGACTGAACATGCCCAATTCAATTTGTCTTTGGGTTTTTTAAATGAACTCTCCAACATATCTTCATAACATGCTTTTAATATACAGTTATCAGTATTTAATAATTTGAAACAAAACTGAATCATTTTTCTTTGTCTTTCATAATACATTGGGTAACGTCCAAATTCACAGTAAACCATGTTATTAACAGCATTTTTTCGAACCTTTAGAATTCGTTTTAAAAAATACAAATGTACTTTCTCTATATCATCAGCTTTATGATTACCGCACACTTCACAGCTATAATTAAGAATACTAGATACATAAGTATCAATTAAGGACAGTAACGTTTCACAGTTATAATAGTCATCTACAATTTTACTACATAAAGCAAAAACAGCCTTTCTACCCTGATTGGCTAACATTTTGTGTGTATGTAAAAAGCTGATAATGCAATTATTTTGATATACATGTAAGGTGGAAATATTTATCAATACAGTTATAACTGTTCAGTTTGACAGATATTTAGATGCATGTGCAGACAGATTTATCTATTAAACAAGCATTTGACAGATAAAAGTAAATAAAACAAAAATACCGAACTCCAAGGAAAATTCAAAACGAAAAGTCCTTTCTCATATGGCAAAATCAAAAGCTCAAACACAACAAACGAACTGAAAACAACTGTCATATTCCTGACTTGGTACAGGCATTTCCTTATGTAGAAAAGGGGGACTAAACCTGGTTTATAGCTAGCTAAACCTCTCAATTGTATGACAGTCGCATAAAATTCCATTATATTGACAACAATGTGTGAACAAAACAATCAGACATAATAGGTAAAAATGTCAAAAATAGGGGTACAGCAGTCAACATTGTGTTATAATCTTAATCACTATAAAAACAAACAAATATGTCAACAAAGAAAAACAAAATGGCATATAGACAACGCACACAAGCAAAAATGAAAGACAGGAATACAAAAAATCACCATAGCACAATAACACAATAGCGAGATGTATAAGTACTGAGACATGCCAAAAGGATATTACCTAAAATGGACTAAACAGTAAAGGTTAATAATTTTCAAAGACAAATAACACGTAATTAAGATGATAAACAACGTCAGTACCTAAAATCTATACTTCAAGACCGTCATGTATTATTTGTGAAGCCCATACGGAATATTTATCAACAAGGTCTTGGTATCTTCCGATGAACTTTTTTATAATATATACATGTAGCATTGCCGCAAAATACTCAAGTTCAAAGAATGTCTGTCCTATCACTGGTCTCAGTTTTGTCCGTTGAATTCATGATCCTTTGCACGGATTTGATGCAGTTGACTTGCATGTGTTAGGCATATGTGATGCAACTTTAGATCTGATTACATGTGACAAATATAAAGGACTAAATTTGGATAAAGTGAATACCAATATCGGTACGATATCGTCGATAGTGTTACTACATCGTGTCTTGGAAACATGTCATGCATTTGGGTATAGTAAACCAAGCAGCATATCATTTTGGCAGGATATGTGAAAATGACCTTTGGCTTGAAACACTGGCAAACGAAAATAACCCTTTACACATTTGATGCGTCCGATGCGCTTTCAGGATTTACCTTCAACCTTCAGCGATCAACCCTAAAATTGTTAGAGCCAAAGATTTAGAAATACTTTTAATACTAAAGGAAATATATGACCAAAAGTGACCTAATAAGAGTAGGCAAGTACATACATAGTCACATAAGCATTTATTTCTTGAATGGCTCAATACAATATATACGTTTTGGCAGCTGTTCGCTTCACTGATCTCTAAGACAACTATGTTAACCAACCATCCAAGAATCGCGAATTTATCCTCCGTCTTACGAAACTGATGATGGGAGTTTTTAACGACCTTGACTGGCTATACAGCCCTCGCACGGTCGGGTTACTTTACGAAACTCTAACCATTTTATTAACCTATATGTGAGACTGTGTTAACCAGTTTCTGCAGACAGTATAAGAAACATGTGTCTCCATGTCATACATTTTTTAACAAATGTTACCAACTTAAGTTTTAAGTTTTTGTTAAAGAATATTGCAGTACCATATACATCATGAATATGATTTAAAAAATTAGTAAATCAAAAGTCTGATAAAATACTGAGTGGACAGGTCATGGTTTTGTGATAGATGTTGTGTAGCTATTCATGACTTTTTTTGTTATGATTTCTTTGTCCTATTTATTATATGTTATTTGTTGTTACCCCGTAGCTGAGTTCTTTAATGTACAGATGTAGGGTGATTGAATCTAGCAAATAATCTGCTAAAACCGTTGCAACAGGCCATCTTAAACTTGCATGAGGTGCAACATTTTGCTTTGTGTTGAATGCATCACTATGACTTTAACATGTAGAATAGCAATACAAGCACTGTTCCTTTGCTTTTGGTTTTATCAATTGATGAACAGATTGTGTCATGAATAAATACACCATTATCCTATATTTTCCATTAAAAAAAGGGTTTTTTCTCCAGAAAACATGTTAAGCAAAGTTTTCAACTTGTCATATTTACTTCCTTTTAAAGTCATCAGTGGGATGAATTTACTGTGTTTACAAAGTGACTTAAAAAGGAGTATGTAGGAATATATGGGTTCCTTGAAAGTCAGGTCTGGGCTCAGCTACTCTTCACCTTTTTTATGCACCCTATATTGTCTTTAAATATTTTGTAAGTCGCTGTATAACTTATATACATTATGATGTATAATATTTTGATACAAGAAAATGATATGTTTACCATATTATACACCAGTTGCTTCTGCTAACAATGTCTTCAACTCACTGCACTTTGTATGTTTCATTTTAAGTAAAGAAAAACAACATTATCTGTCTGGTTGATTTTTTATATTTTTACTATTGCATATTTTTTATTCTCAACAATTCACAAATAACAACATTCATTACTAAGAAAACAACCCACTAGATAAAACACCTTTCCCATACTGGAAAAAGGTGAAACAATGTATGCCTATTGTCTTCACACACTAAATGGCTCATATTTCTTCATCAGAATTATGTATTATAAATAACAACAACAAAATGGAAAGTGAGCATTTCTTCCATTTGAGGTATAATAATGTAACTTGTAAAATGTTCTACTAAAAAGCGAATCAGCTTGACATGTATACAGTTTTGATGTACATTTTACCTAACAAGTTTATAAATTATTAATATTATTGACAAGGCTTTTCTGATCATAAAATGAAATCTAATGGTTTTAGCATTGTCCTACATAGCATGTACTCCTGTTTATATTAAGTGCCAGTCTTTGTAAGAATCAGGCATTTTTGAAAAAAATCAAAACATGGCCGAAAAAAACCCACTGACCTAACCATCCTATTTTGAAGTTAACCTCATCCTGAGTTTAAAAGTGTAGGTCTTTCATTTTTGGGTATCTAGTTATCGAGAAATCTCTAGATAACTTTTGATTAGAATGATAGCAAAATACGGAGTTAGCTCCCCTTAATTGTTAATTTCTAGTGCATTTCAACCAAATTATATCTTGAATTACCAGAACAGGAAATAGAAACGAATGTTATATTCATGCACCATTAAACATTTTGACATAAATAAATGTCAACTTGAGTGGGTTATTGTTTGTCATGTTTTCATAACTGCCTGATTCTTAGGCACTTAAAAAAGCAAGTTAAAATTACATTTTTGTTTTACATAAAACAATGAATATTATATTGTAAAATATTGGTGTTAATACATGACATAAAATCTTTTAGATTGAAAAAAGTGTTATACCCGTCTGATTTCTATGAACACTACACCTGTTTCTACATTAAACTTCATCAGGTATGCCAGATACCAAAAGTTGAGAAAGCCAATAAAAAAAGTTAACAAGAGGCTGTCGAGTGACAGTAAACCGGATTTGCCTGTAGAGGTTGAACCCAGAACAATTGAGCAAGTATGGACACAACTTTTAATTTAAACATCTTGTATTTGGATTCATTTAGTCACAGGAAACAACATATCTAAATTTGAAAAAATTTCTTCAAAGCGTTTTCATGTAAATCAACAAACACTGTTTGGCCACCCGCCCGCCTGCCGAACATCCCCAAATCAATAAAAGATTTTTACTTTGAAATCCGGTTAAAAATGGATATGCCAAAAGGTCCAATGTCATCTTTGCCTGAAGGAGTCGCAATCCTTAGTTAATGAACTGGAAATTAACAGTAAAAATGTATCAACTGAATCATGACAGTACTAAAGCACTAGTTACTGGGTATGTGGTACGTATGCCTGTATGATACAGATTTCTAAGGGCATGATATAAAATTCTAAAATAAACTGAAGACAAATTACAAAACATTTAAAAACTATAACATGAAAAAAGGCCAAAACCCTCTAATGTCAACCTTGCCTAATAAATTTACAACCTTAGTTTAAGAAAAATTTAATTATTTATGAACAAGATATTCGCAGTCAAAATGTTTCATTTAAATCATGTCAGTACCAAAGCACTGCCTACTGCTAAGATAGTTCCCCAAGAGATAGTCTAGCAAAAGTGATACTATCCCAGTGGTAAAAACTACATTAATAAATGATCATAACTTAAAGTTACAATTTAAATTAATAATAAAAACTAATATCAAAATTTACAAAGAAGATTTGCTTGATGTTGTTCATGAATGCATCCTCTCTGAATAATGTATATTTATAAGACTGTAACTCTTTTATTTATGTTCATTTTATGATTTGAAAATCATCTTGTAGTATCTATCAATAACGAGTAAAATGATGAATGTAAAATGAAAAACAAACTCTAATTGTCCACAGATCAAGTATTCAAAACACAAACAAAAAAGAGTTTTCAGCAACTGTACATGTGATTATATTCTTGTCTTATCAAGAAGCTACAGCTGTATATATGTCTATAACTATATGGCATCTTTTTTATAAAGCTGATTACCTATTTATAAATCCTGTTTATAAATGAAGTAACATTTTTTTTCTTGAATTAATGTTTCTAAACATCTAATTGATTACTAAAAATCAGTTGATTTCAAACTCTAGCAAAACTTAAATGTTTTATTAATTTCTTCACTGCATCTGCTTTTTCTCATATAATATGAAAATATCTAGAGAGCTACAATAATTCAAGTTTCTTTGGAAAAAGATGTATTGATAGTAAAATTCATTTGATAGAAATTTTTCTTTATCTCAGATGTGAATATACTGATAAAAGTGTAAACATTTAGTATTTTTTATGTGTACACATATTTTATTAGCAATTCAAATTCTATTCTTTACATCATTGTATAAAAAGCTTGATTATTGTGTATTCATTTAAAATCTATATCAGCTATCAATTCATAATAATCTAATTCTTATTACAGAAGCACCACGGGTCAATAATGAAGGGTTTTTTTTTCATCTCGGGATATTGCAATATCAAATCCAAGTTTGGGAAAATCGGACATATAGTTTTAAACATAAAACTGGAAACAAATAAAAATTGTTCAAAATCATAATATCAATAGCTGCTGTGAACCTTGACTTATATAGCCCAAATTATTGATGTTCTCCATCCAATAGGGCATTTAATAAACCAAGTTTAGTAAAAGTTGAACATATGATCCCAAAGATAATAATGGCAAACTTTTGACCTATTGATCCCAGAATCAATTGGGGTCTTCCTCTTCCGATGGGGCATGACTAAAACAAGTTTCACCTTTATGTCTTTGTAAAAAGCTAGGAAAATTCATTTGATTGCTGTAAATTCAGAAATTATTGCGAGGTTTTTATCAATGTGAATAATGCAACTGGTTGAGTATCGCAATAATAAGAACTCACATTCTGATATCTGATACATATATCTATATGAAGATTTTCCTGAAATCGGAATAATTAATTTCACATTTTTGTTCATTCTTTAAAAATCCCAATAATAAATGCACGCAATAATTTCTGAATTTACAGTAATCATTTTTCTTATATGTGTAAGTTGTCAGTCCAAATGAAATTTAAAATCCTTGATAATATATAGTCCATTCAATCAGACACATTTGCATATAGATGTAAAATAGTAAAAAAATATTGTAAGATATCATTAAAGTAGAAATAACGTTTGAAATATATCACAACTTGGAAGTTAAATGCGTAGGTATAAATAAATAATATCTAAATGTATGCTACAAAAAAGTAAGGTGTAAAATGGAATCTAAACTTTGGAATGTTGTTTTTTTTCAATTATTACAATCCAATTTCTTTTTGTCCATCTACAGAAGTTTGGAATATTTTTTTGTGTAGATTTAAAGCAGACCTTTACAAAGTTGACAGACAGGAGTAAATCTACTTTTTTCTAAGCCACATTAAAGCTAAGACAGTTAAAATATGTATTTTTTCAAATCGTTCTTTAGAGACCATTTTTGGGGGTCTAAACATTAACAACATTAGCGATTTGTCTAAAAAGCTGACTTTCAGCTTGCATTGATAAATAGTTCAATATTATGGATTTTATCAGTATCAGAATAGTGTAACTGTCAGTACATTAAGATACTAACAAGAGACAATTTGCATATTATCAGTCATGGAAAAAGACATCTAAAACATACATTATATATTTGAATATTTGTAAGTAAAAACTTATATCTGGTTTAGTAAACAGCTCAATAAAAACAATAAAAAGATAACTGTTTAAATCAAAGAAAGCTTTAAAAACACATTTATGCATCATACATTCTCAATCATGCTTAATAAATTAAAACCAATTACAACCTTCTTAAACTGTCAACACTCAATGTAAGTTATCTGTATTGTTATTGGACATTTCAGTCATGTTTATTACGTGGTATAAAAATCAAAGAAGGATGGAATTTAATTCAGTATCAAATCAACTGGTACACCATTGAAATATATTAATCAGGACTGGGTGGCACAAACATTAATTTAAGTCTATAATGTTTAAATTGATGTTTGTGCAACCTCATTGTGGACAAGAAAAAAAAAAATTCTTTTGAAAATTTAAAAATGGGTAGAATTAGTCTGCTGAAATATTTTTTTAAATGATGCATTAAATGGAATGCATGAGACAAATCTAAGAAATGAATTCAAAGTCAGTCTACTAGAATGTAAATGATAACATATAGACTTAATTATTTCAGAGGATTTTCAAAATCATATCACACTACTACCTTTGTCTAAAGTCTAGCATTATCCTTAACACCGAAAACTAGCTCTAAAATATCTCTAAACCCAGCCCTTTAGTTAGAATTTATTTTTATTACTTTAAACCAAATTATTTTCACAGATAATTTTTGTTTGCTTTCAGCACTGTGTAATCAGCTTTGCCACAATTCCTTTTCAATACTTTCTTTTCTGAGGAATATCTTAAAAATCATAATGCGAGATATTCACATTATTTTTCTACCCATGAAATTGGCTGGCAAAATTATTTGGGTATAAAGTATATGATATTTTTCAAATATAATCAAAAGTTAATATCAATTTTAAATAAAGATCAGTTTCAATTACTGTGGATTAATTTTTAGTCGTTGGAAACAAATTTTTGTGGATATAGGTGAACCAAAAATTTAGATATTCAACGAAGTACAATTTTCTATAAGCTTGTATACAGACTTTGGCAAAACCAGGAAATCAAATATCCAAGAAATTGCAATTTTTCATCAATCCACAAAAATTGGTACCCACAAAAAAAATAAATCTGCAGTATATGAAAATGTATTTATTTACATTTATGTGTGTATCTGGGTATCTGTACATGTTTCTATCTTTAGAATAAAATTATATTTTAAAATTACTACTTTATTTTGCCTTAATATAAAGTTCATCATACACAATGTAGCATACATAACATTATCATTATAGTCATTTTATTTTTAATAAATAACAAATGTTTTGCATAAAAAAAAACATAAGTTGATTATTAACTGTTTCTAACTATTGATTTAAGGAAATAACCAACGATACCACTGACCAAGGGAAATCTCAAAAGTGTTAATTTACTCAGTTTTGTTTAGAGTATAAGAATCTATCGTATGCAAATAAATAAAAACTAAAAACTGACTTTGTTATATTGCTTAAACTATCTTGATCCAGATCTTGTTTGTTTATTATACAAATGCAATGACTTATTCTAAGATTTTTTTTGAATACATGAACACATTGCATATTGAAATTTGATAAATCTTAATTTGAAAGCATTTTTCAAAATCTTCTTTTTATTTTTGCATTTTAAATGAAGGATTTTTGTTATTCTGTAACACCTGTCTCTATATATAAAACATGGATTGTGATTTTAAGTTGCAGCCTTTCACAGTACAGTAAAGTTTTAATGTTATTGTACAAAATCAAATAAAATAACCCAGCTTTCTGCACTCGAAGAAATCATTAAAAGATTTTCCCACATCCTTGAACATCGTATTTTTACAGAAATATTCTGAACTATACAATCTTTTTTCTATATCTGGATTTCTGGTTTTATATAAGCTTTATGAGTAACTGTTACTCTGTAGTCAGCTTACTCTACATAGTATTAGCACCATCATAATCATGTCCACAGCAAAACAAATCAACATGCCCATCATAAGAAATGTTAACAAATTTTCTATCAAACATTAACATACCTGTAAAACATCATGCAGATTAAATTATGCAAATCATATACAAGCGATTGTCAAAAAGTACTTCTCATTGTCTAAATACATGAAGCAATAGCACAATATGAGACTAGTATTTATCCTGCATACATAAATCTTTCTCGTGTACATATATCTTTGATTATGAAGATAGTCTGTTTTCTGATTACTAAAGTGTAGATCAGCTGACTTGAATAGAGATGGTCACATGACTGACATGTGTCATACATACACAGCTTCTTCTGCATCTGGAGGTAGATTCCATACACAATCAAACTAAAAAGACATAAATATGTTCATATTTCTTTGTAATGTAAAAGTAACCCAAAAAGACTCATGAATAATCTGTTGACCATTTGGCAGAAAAATGATAAAAATCATTGATTTAAGCTACTTCTACTTAAATTTCTTAATGTTGTAGTTACAATGAAAAGAACAAGTCAAGTATAGTTTAAATATATGCCAGATGAGACAGAAAATAGTTTACCCTTCCAGCTCACATTAATTCTCACCAGGAATCCAGTTTCCTCCACCAATAAAAACTGGCCAACATGATAAAGCCAAGAGTGCTGAAAGTGGCTTTAAACACAATCAATCAATAAATAGTTCAGTCGATTTTTAGTAGACAAATTTATGTTACTCAAAATGTATTATTTCTGTATATTTTGTTTTTGTTTGAGTTTAAATTTATTTTTTTTTCTTTCTGTCACAATGCTGGAAAATTTCTTTTTATTTGTCTTACATAAAAATAAGAGACAAAAAGTCATTTTAAAACACAACCTGAGGTCACAAAGATCTGTCAAACAGCATGTTGAAATATTTACTTCTAAACTTACTAAACTTAATATATGCCAAAAATATCCTTACCCCTGCAAATGGATCTTTACCATTCACTAGATAAGCAGAGCTCGGGTCAGTATTTGGAGAATAGCTAAAACTAACACCTGACATAGGGAAAAAGTCAACAGGGACTGATTGCTTTGGTGAGATCTGTAATTAAAAATAACAATGTTATATGTTTTTTTTTTTTAGCTAAGTGCACAGCATGCAGATAACTTTTATAAAGTTTACAACAGATAAACACAATTAAATCACATTGTTTACATTTTATGGTAGCATCATAATAATTATCTCATAAAAAATACTGTCAAGTCTGTTAGTTTTGTTTAATTTGTAAGGCAAGTCAGTGCATTTCTGATATAACTATGAATGAATATTTGTTTAAGCAGCTATACGGCTAACATTATACTGAAAGACTTTTTCTTTACCATCAGTTTTTCAAGTTTACCGTGAACATTTTAATATGAAAATAGTCCTGATTATTTATGAAAACTTTACCCCTTTCTTATTAAACAACCCAATATTAATCCCTCTTACATGATAAACCCCTCTTATAAAAGCTTCAGTGAACTTATCACAATTAACTAATTGTGATTAAAGATGTTCGCTACTCAGTTTCAAAATAACAAGCTTTTTAAAAGACTGTTATAAGTTGATAGTATATAAATAAAGAAACTAAAAAAGCAGAAATAAATGAAGGGTCAGTGTGCTAGTTTTCGAGATATAAGCCATTGAAAATTTGGCGGGAAATAACTCTCTCTAGATTTTCATACATTTAACATTACCACCTGTTTTCTTACAAAAACGATGAAAAAATAACAAGGATTCTATAAGATTTTCAAAGATGACATTTTAAACTATATGTAATCATATTATGGAGAGAAAAGTAGGGGTTAGTGGGCAAACATTGTTAATGGCACTTCATGGATAAAACCAGAGGATTCCGAATATATGGCAAAAATTCAAAAACAAGAGGAGCGAACATCCTTAAAGGGATATCTAAATTCAAAACAGATGAACACTTTGTTTCTACCACTGTTTTTATGATGATTTGAGAAAATAATTACTCAACTTTGATCAATGGAGCAACTATCATTGAAACTGGTGACCAAATGTCATGAAAATGTGTATTAAATTGAAATATGCCACCATTTCTCGTGGCTTTAAATATTCTTCCTCTGTACACTCTGTACATCCATTTTTTAAAATGTACAGAAATTATACATAAAATAATTTGTCTTGCCCTGAAAATGCATGCCATAAATTCCATTGGATAATAGACAACTAATCAACTATTTATCAAAAAAAAAAAAGAGAACAGTGTTGTGTTTATGGAAAACATAGTCATACCTTTTTCTCAATGACAGCAGTAAAATTAATGCCTTTATAAAATGCAAGGTTTTGTAAAGCAGATAGATCTGTCATCCTCTTTTCAGGACTTTTTATCAATAACTGTAAAGACAAAAATATATGAGATTACTACTTATAAATATGGAGGATTAGTCTTTGTAAAAAATTACTTGTGACTTAATATTTTCAAAAGTGAGTCCTGGACTCATAACTTTGAAATTCTTCAAGTAATGATGACACCTTGTTTGTTAGAAGCTGATAGAAAGTTAAGATGGTTGGTTACCCTATCTTTCCATTTCAATTCATATTCTAATCTTTTATTAACCAAAATATCATATTTTACCATGTTAAACCCTCAAGTCACCTTAATCCATTTGAGGCAAATGAAAAAAAAAGTTGTAACAAGCGACTATATTAATGCAGATGTAGTATGTTTGTCATGTAATTCAAAGAAATTTTTCAAAAAAAAAAATAAATAAATTGACCAACTTTATGATAATGACTATGCAAATGGGAGACAACTCTAACAAATTGTGCCAAATGGGAGACAACTCATACAAATTGTGCTAGAAATCAATACTGAAATACAGGATATGAATTATACAAAAGCTTACTTTGCTGACAACTTCCTGAGCTGAATCACTACAGTGGTTAGGGAGTAAATAATCACATTCCCAAACTAACTTAGTCATCTCCATGTGGTCAAGAGCGCCCTCTGCTGGATACTGGAATGGATCAAGAAAAGTAACCAGATATGAGACTGTTTAATGATAAATTAACAAAACTTAAGTGACTTGGAAAAAATTGAAACATAAACAAATAATTCATACTGAGAATGAATTTCATGATCATTTGTATTTAGTACATTAGCAATTTGTTACTGTGTAAACATTTTATGGAATTCAAATTTATTTTGTGTATATGTTACTTTTTATGAACAACATGTTTTTCACAGGCTTTAAATAAACTAAAATTCCCTTTTTCAAACATATCTTTTATTACATACACAGACATCAAATTGATTTCTTCATCATTTTCAATAAAGCCCTACCTTGCCAGCTAACATGACAAACATTAATATACCAAGTGACCACCAATCTGCTGTGTGACCATAAGGATGGGAGACTAGCACTTCAGGAGCTGTAACATACAATATCAATTATATCAATGCTGTAAAATGGAATCAAATAATGAAAAATATAATATATCAGTGATTACTTTTTAATTTGAAGGTGATGCAGTCATGTAGAATTATAATGACTCAAGAGAGTTTGGATGTATGAATAAATTAATTCCATACATTTTGGAGAATGATACTTGCTAAACCATTCATATTATATCAATAAACCTAACAAGAATTTGTACAGTTGATGGGTTAACATAACTGTTAACGGGAACAAAACCCAAATGTCACAATAATCAGGATAACATTTGACACACATTTTTGAAAATGAACAAAATATTTCTTTTATCATGCCAATTTTGATTCCATGTAGCAAGTATGTCAAACCAGATACTTTAAAATTGTGCTGTCATTAATGTTTATCCACTAAGCATGTACCTTCAAGGAGTGACACCAAAGACAGGTCATCTGGGTCTCAGAATAATGTCTGTACTCTTACAGACAGTTAGCTTATAGCAAGCATGTTAATAATCTAGCCAAGAATTCATATTCATATCATATCATCTTGATTTGATACTGAATATGGATGAAAAAATGTCTGTTTACATTGAAAATCAATCCATTATTTACATAATGGTCTATAATACAAGCAGTTTTAGTGTCTAGTTTAGACTGTGATGCTGTTAAAACATTTATAAATACACAATTAACAGGAGTAGAATGTATGTGATTCTTTTCAATTTTATCTTGTGTTAAAAGTTGTCTTTCTTGTAGATTGGTACTTTCATAAGAATACATGATCTATACCCCACATATGCTTTTATTATCCAAAGTTTGCTGTAACAGTCTTAATAATAATCCCCTCTTGAAACAATTAAACTAGTGAAAATAACTATGTAATTAACTTTTTGAACATTTTTAAAGCAATGAATCTAACCCAATCCATTATTGTACTGTCTGACAATTCCTTTCTGGCAACATCTATCAATGAAATACACTTTCCGATATACAAAAAGCTTCCAAGATAATATACATACTTACCCATATACTGAAGAGTGCCACATATCGTCCGTGTTTTCTCTCCTTTTGTTAACCATTTAGACAATCCAAAATCTGTCAACTGTATATTGCCTGAACAAATGAAAGAAGGACAATTTTGTTAACTTCAAAGACTAAATTCTATACTATTGTTTTACCGTCTATCATCAGAAACTTGAAAAGATCATGGATTCTGTTATCATATAAATATGTGGGTGGAATCAGAAATTTCTAAATTTACAGTCAATCACATTTTAGGATTAAGTGCTTATATGATTTCAAAACATATAAAAATGTTTGAGATATCTACCGTGTTTTTTTCAAGATTGGTTTTCTATCCTTGTATATCACTATATATATTACATAAAGGGACACCAAGAATAACCAAAAATAGTTGTCGGTACAATAAACCACACCAATCACCAACACCCAACTCCTCCCAATAAATTGACAAACAAAGAAAGAAAGACAGCATTGAACAGATGTTCCTATATTAGTAAAACTGAAATTTTTCTATTGCAGTTATATGCTTCAAGATTTTTGTTCATAATGTCATTACTTACCATGACATATAATAAAAGAAGGTAATTAAATTAGCAATCTTTTACAAGATGAATTTCTCCAACATGAACGATCTTAACTATGTAATCAAAAGCAGCTACACCTACCTTCCTGATCAAACAGAATATTCTCCATCTGAAAAAAAACAATAAGAACACAAGGATCACTATATAACCAAGATAAAGTAAGTGAGGTATAACAGAAATATTGTCTTTTCATAATTTTCTTGTTTTATCTGTTTAGAATATTAATTCTACTAATAGTGAGAGAAAAAATTAAAATAGTGTGTACTCAAAAGTAGCTTCAATGCTGAACCATTTCTGACAACCTACTGATAAGAGGTCTACCTGATACATATCTGACAACTGGTTTAATGATTTTTTTTTTATCTTAGTCATATAAAAAACAAGAGTACACATGCTGAAACATCTCACCTGCTTTACTGATCATGATAGAATTCTATGTTGAGTCTTTAAATTGGATGAAACTGGCCAGATGGACATTTACAACATATAATCATTCCGTACACCAAATATAGTTAACCTATTGCTTATAGCATTTGAGAAACAGAATAGCTTATACATGAAGTATCTGAGAAACAGACTTTTAACTAAGAAAACATAACATTGACCAATGAAACATGAAAATGAGGTTAAGGTCAGGTGAACCCTGTTTGGTAGACATGTGTACCTTCCAATGATTCTATATTCTAAATATAGATGTTTTACTAAAAATAACTGAAAAAATCATGTGAAACTTTCACTGAACCATGAAAATGAGGTCATGGACAACAGACATATATCAGACAGAAACTTCAGAACATAAAACACCTCTACACATGGTATGAAGCATCAAGTTCTTCCACCTTCTGAAATGTGAAATTTCATACAAATAGTTAATGCTGTAGCCACTGGATTTTTGTCAATATGTAACACTTACTGCAATATCCATCGAAGGGGAGACAAATATAAACAAAAATGAATTATGCATAAATGGGAAGTAACAAAATCAATATTTACCTTCAGATCTCTATAAATAACTCCTGCATTATGTAAATAATCTGAAAAAGAACAGTTTGTTACTTAGACTGAGAAGTTATACACATCAAAGTCTTTATTTTATATCCTCTGTTACAAAATGTACTATATAAGAGGGGTATCTATAGGAATCAGTGTGTCTCTTCATTTATTGTTTTTTTCGTTCATTTAAACTTTCCTCCATCCACTGGCATTATACACCTTTTAATTCTTTTTTTTTTTTTTTTCAAATAATTTTTGTGGTTTCCAATAGCAAAACATAGATTTTGCAATGACTATTAAAGGTGCAATTTGTACCTGCAACTCATCCTTATACACCAATGACAGTATTTTGATGAAATGTAAGACTGTAAGCCCGCCTACGGGTGCGGGACTTTCTTGCTGTGTTGAAGACCCATTGGAAGCCTTGGGCTGTTTTCTGATCTTTGGTCAGGTTGTTCTCTCTTTTACACATTCCCCATTTCCATTCTCAATTTGATGTTTTGATCTTATATGTTTAATATATTTATTCTAGTATACATTAAAAATAAATTCCAGACTCTGATAATAAGTTTTGATTAAGATAAAACAAATGATTTACCTACCTAATACTAAAGCTAATTGTGAAACATAAATCTTAACTAAAGGTTGAGGAAAATATCCATGGAATGTCCACAATGTAAACATGTCTCCAAATGGCACATAATCTAATACTGAAAAAAAAATCATCAAATCCTAAATATATACATTATGTAAAGTGAAAAAAGGAAAAACAGGTCTCCTCAAACTTAATGTATGTCCTAATAAACCAGTTGGTCATTAAAAGCACGAAATGTAGGTCAAAGCGACTAAAATGATGTTGACCAGCAATGCATTATACAGAACGACTATAATGACATGAGCTACCCTACATATTCGTTTACTCATTTCAATTCTTATATTACTATAGTTACCATAAAACTTAACCAACATCACTAGATAGGAAATATGCTGTTATATATTAAAATAAATAAATTTCCAAAAAATATCCCCAAATGCAAAAATTAACCAGTCATTTAAACGTAGGCCAAAGCAACAGATATGTAATAAGAAGAATCTTACCTATATATAAAAATTTACGAGACTGCCAGTACTCATGAAGCTTTACAATAAATGGATGATCACCAAGCATTGCCTGCAAAACAAACAAATTCTCATTTTAATAGCTTCAATATTCTACTGCAAAAGCATCAACTACACAGGGGCTAAAAGTCTAAAACAATTCCAAAGACATGAAAATGGAATCCGTATTGAACTGTTGAAAAAGAGAACTGCCTCCTGTGTGTTAAGAAATATTGTTTGTGTCAGAGGTCAGTTTAATAGAACTGGTAGTCCATAGGATGATATATTGATATAGGAATTGTTCATTAAATTATTGGACTCTCTAGATAATTATTTATCGACAAGGATACTAATTAGACACCAACTTCTTTGGTTCAATTTATGTTTTTGTATTAAATATCATCGGTTTGCTTAGTTATGAACAAAAGTTTGTTCTTGTACTTTTCATAGCATAGCTGTCTGGAATTTACACATAATTACATCAGCTTGTATCAGAGTGTGACAAATGCTGCTATAAGTATAGCTAGGGTTAATAACATTACTGTGGGCAAAAGTTATTGTCAAATATTGGTATGTATTTACCTGGATTGCTGCCTCATCTTTACACTGCTGTATAGCATTCTCTACAATAATCTGAGTTTTTCCCATAACCTACAACATGTACAATACAGATATTATCCTCTTATTAAAACTCTTACCTAACCTAAAAAAGAATTTTCATGCAATGTGGCACAAAGTATACTTGTTTTTAGAAATTGACAAAAAGTTCCATTCTTAGTGGGTATAATGTTCCTTTTGTGATGCTACTGATTATATATATTTTAATCATGTAAATGGATTTTGTTATTTTTGGTGTTGAAGGCAGATCCTAGATAGTTTCCCTTCAATTTATTCACATCATTTTTTTACTTTGCACAATTTATATTTAGTTTCTGAACAATAAAATATGTTTAAATTATAACATTTATAATTCATCAATTAGAGCTTAACATTAATTATGGACACCTGTCTATTGGAGGACGATTTAGAGCTTGTCATATTGTATAGAACTGTCTTAGGCTGTCTATTATAGAATACTGTATGTTGACCGCTAGATGTCTTTCAGTCCTTTGATGAATATAGTTGCTATCTCATCGACATATATACCGGGGCTACCCAACATCTCCTTTTAATAATTAGAAAAAATCAGTCTTCAAACAGGAAGTGAGAAGTGAGTGATCGGCAGATCTTAAAATTCCTTACACAATGAAACATTACAAAGATCCATAATTTATTTTAATCGCATAAAAATACTGATAAAAATTAGGCTAGAACTTCCTTTTAAAAATTTGTGGATCCCTGCCTGCATATAACAATAAATGGTTTAAACCACATACTTTAACTGCATAGTTCTGTTTTTCATCTTCCCTCCGAACCAAATACACATTACCATAGGCTCCCTTAGCTATAACATCAATAACCTGAAATACAAAACAAGTACACACAACATGCACAAGGTGACACTCTTAAAAATTGTCTAATACAAAACCTGATCAAGTACACACAAGGTGACATACTTGACAATCAACTGTGCTGGTAATTTGCACTGTGAATGATGGTGATTGTTGGTGATGCACTCATAAATACTGTGACATTTATCTAGACTTTCAAAGGAAATTATAAGACAGGTTTATAAGTAATGAATAGGTTCATAACATGTATTGTATACATCTACAAAACTGAAATTTTTTATTTTTTATTTGTATGCATTTCTTTTTTTAATTTAGAACATTTTAATTTATATAAGCAGTTTTAAACTTCCAGAAAAAATGTCAGTTATCTGCATTTTTTTTTATGAAACGATCATTTACTAGCTAAGTTTTATACATTTTAAGTTCACATCTTTCACTTTTAAAACTCATCAGTGGGTAGAGAAGAGATATTGGAATGGATTTACAAGAGGACAAATATCCATATCATACTTACATGACTTAGAAGTAACCAAATGTCAAATGAACACACAATGTACCAATTTTAGAACCATCATATATTAATGCTCTAACTCATGTTATGGTGCAATGACTAACTATAGATAATTAATTTTCAAAACACAAGTGTACCTCAAACTCTTGTTGTTTAAAATCTCCTCGTACTGGAAAATCTGGCAAGAACAAGGCTTCCACCAATGGAACATTATTCCACTTGGGTTTGTCTGGAGCGGAGGAATCATTCTCTAATTGTTCATGTGACTTTCCACGACTCAGTCGAGCTGATGCTCTTGTTTTACTTCTTACAAAATCAGGATTTGTTTCTTGTAAAAACTGAAAAATAGGATTTTATATTAAAGCATATTCAAAATGCAGTATGATTAAATGTGCACTTTTGATGTATCATGTGTATGGCTGTGCAACATATGCTCTCAATTTCAATAAGAGAGTAGAAGTATGTCCACGCACCAAAAAGTCTTAAAATTCTGTCCCTACTCAACCATGTCAACTCTCCGTACATGTATATATTTCTTAAGGGCAGTTAAAATTTTTGTCATTTTGTTTTTGTCACATCCTACCCCTTCATGCATGTGTCATGACCTTTTTTTTATTCAATTTTATTTCATATTCAATTTACAACATCCATTTGTTATAGTTTTTTTGTACTAGTGAGGCATAATACATAAACAATCAATAAATTGATCATTTTAATAAATTTCCAATCTTCATTCTAGAAAATTAATGTTCAATGGGGTATTTCAAGTCAATATAAATGCATTAAATAATTGTCCATGAATTATTTATTATATCTGTGGCATCAAACATATTTTTTCCATTCTAGCTCAGTCTTCACACTTAACCACAAGCCCAGCAGCGCAGATTTGTAAAATTGCTTTCGGGCCTCTAAAAATCACTACAGGCCAACATAATCCAAAATTTTTCAAAAAATTGAGCTTCCAGCCTTTAGATTTAAAAGTTTATCTTGAAGACTGCTAGCTATGACTTTAAAGTGATTGATTATTAGATATATATCTCTATAGTTTCTTAGCATTCAGTGACAAATGTTATTTTTAACATAACTTAAGCTTAAGCTTAAGCTTAAATAGCTAATTTTGAAAGTTACTTGTTTAACTACTACCCCTGACTGAACATGCCGAATTAATCATATAAATTTTAATACTTTTTCATTGAAGGAGTTAATAAGACATGTCAGATGATAAAAGCAGTCAGTATTTAGGAAAAATTAATATGATAATTACATATCCCCATCCTATAAATGGATGCATAACGAGGCTAGAATTTCCAGACATTTTTTTGCTCTCAACCCCTATGGAAGATAATGGATTTCAACATTTGTTTACTTTGGGGGTTTGACAGGGGGAGACTTATTCTGAATCACCAATAATTTGAGCTACTTATATTGAATTCATCATCATATATCTTTAAATAATGCTATTTATTCATGATATTCACAACACCATTATCAGACAGGGATATAACTCTATACAGTTATTAGAGAAAAATAACATACATATGTTATTGTGGACTAAAAAATCAAAAAACTGTGATAACATATGTATGTTACATGTTTCAAAGGGCCAATATACATCATTTGTTTTGTTAAAATGTATACAAGTTCTATTGATATTATTATTGTCTTTATGTATATCAAACTGTAGAAAGATATAACAGCCCATAGTTTGCCAATCATGCATAGTACACCTATGTTATTACAGAAAAAATATGCCTGTAATAACTAAAGGGTGTTATTACAGCTTCTCTACATCACTTCAAAGCCTTTGCTCAGACATACATCATGCATAATCACAATGTATTTTAATTTATTGTAAGAAATAATGATCAGAGCATGTAATGAGGTTCTGCGCAAGCTTCCCAGTAATTCCCAAGTGTCTCATATAATAAGTTACATGCCTTTAATAACTTATTATAATAAGCCTTGTTATTACAGCTAAGTTTATTCCTTAAAAGCCTTGTCTCATTGATTTACCATGGTTGATGAAAAATGTATTAATTAAATTTGAAAATTAGTTATCAAGGCTATGTATTTAGTTTCTGCGCAAAGTTTCAAGAATTCCCAAGTGCCCACTAAAAATTAAAATATTTATGATTTATTTAAGAAATTACAAAAATATGTTACTACAGATTTAGAAAATTTTAGGAATAAAGAGTAGACAACTCGTGAATGTATCTGTAATGACACATGCAAGATATTTTCTCTAATAACCCTATAGAGTTATAATCAGTTATATCCCTGACTGATTATTGGATATCACAGGTATAATTCCTTAAAATTTTGAATTCCAACTATAAAATTGGTCAACATAGTCAAGTGTCATGGATTCACAAACCAAAATAGACGACTGTTGAATTTGTGCACTTTCCCTTTATTTGCTATATCACAATGCTTATGTTATTTAATACATCACAGTAAGAACTGATTGTTCTATGACGTAGTTTACGCCGATTAACCGTGGGTCAAACAGTGTAACTCGTTCATAAAAAACAACTCTCGATTGGTGGTGTGATTAGTTCTATTTACAGGTAGCAGCGGTATAACATTACACATTATAGCTACATGTATCATATACATATATGAAATTCATCCTCTTTCAAAGGTAACATTTCTTCCAGTTTTAAAGCTGAAGAGCTTGCCACTTATATGTGTACACATGTCAAATCGAACTTCCATGTTTATGTGTCTGTCTCATTTTTATGCTAAATCAAATATACTTTTGTTTATCAATGTATATACTTATAAAATATGCATGTTTCTTTGTCGTGTTTGTTCTGTTTTCAATATTTCTACAAATTACATTCACCTGGGATTCTGGAACCGATTGGGCTTTTCTTAGGGGATTTTTCTGATTGCTGTTCCCCATAGCTTAACAAGTGCATTTTGATTACATGTTTTAAAAGTTCCAAAATAAAAAATAGTCATTCAATCCTACAGGCTACAATCTTTAACCGGAAGGAAGCATACATTGAGCCGGCAAAAAAATAAGTCTCAAAGAAATGTAGACTTGCATTCGAAAATTTAGATTAAAAAAAAGGGGAGAATCGATGAAAAATTAAAAACTATGTAGATATTCATTTTTATGAAAGTTTTATTGGGTTTTTCCAAAACAAATCATTTTTATATTGTAATTGTAGGGGATAACTGATTACAATTATTATCCTTTAGTTGCCACTTTGTAAAAGTAAACCATTATAGGTCAAAGTACGGTCTTCAAACGGAGCATTGGCTCACACCGAACAGCAAGCTATAAAGGGCCCAAAAAATTACTAGTGTCAAACCATTCAAACGGGAAAACCAACGGTCTAATCTATATAAAAAACGAGAAACGAGAAACACTTATGAACCACATCAACAAACGACAACTACTGAACATCAGATTCCTGACTTAGGACAGGTGCAAACAATTGCAGCGTGTTTAAACGTTTTAATGGTACCAAACTTTCATCCTTATCTGAAACAATAGTGTAACATCACAACATAGAAAGACACACGATAAAATATCAATTGAAATGGCTTAACTCAATCAAAAGACATATTAACACCAGTGAACCTACACTGAACAAATAAATTTGATCTATGATACAATGTAAATACAAAATAAATAAACTAAGGGAAAAATAATTAAAGAAACATGTTATACCGCTGTGAAATGTTAAACAATTTAAGAAAAACCATATGCTTGAACAAAAATATCAGCCATGCAATTACTTTAAACACATGTAAATGAAAATAATTTTGTTGTTAGGTATACGTGTACAGTTCAAATAGAAAAATAGGAAATATTTTTACAAAATAAATAATTTAGAAGTTCATAGTACGAAGAAGTGAATATGTATGTAATTCGCCTCAAATTTAGCCCAACAATGTTAGATCTTCAGATTTGCGTTAGCAAATTTTTTTTCTTCCCTCAGCGGGATTAATAATAATAAACAGCTTCCATTTGCAGCTGATTATTTCCATATGATCAAATTCCGGATTTGAATATGTTCTATCATTTTACAAATGATGCATGTGAGAAATACTAAAGTTGGCCAATAGTTTTCTGGTATTTCTGTCATTTCTTGTATGGATCAAAGAAAACGGACATAGCGAACGATTTTGGAAATATTCCCCCAAAGGGAGGGACGATAGGAGCATCATGGTCCACAATGGAAAATTAAAAAGTAGGGGACAAAATAATTTCTCTTTCATGTGTCGGAAATTTGTTTACGGAGTTTCTTATTATTATGTAAAACTTAAATATACATATCTTTAACACGACAATTATTCGGCTGTTTATATTAGAAAAAAGTAAAATAACAAAAATACCGAACTCCAAGGAAAATTCAAATCGGAAAGTCGAAAGTCCCTTATCAAATGGCAGAATCAAAAGCTCAAACACCATGAACACATCAAACGAATGGAAAAATCTGTCATATTCCTGACTTGGTACAGGCAGAGACATATAAAATTGTATTATATGTCTCTGATACAGGCATTTCCTTATGTAGAAAATGGTGGAACATTAAACCTGGTTTTATAGCTAGCTAAACCTCTCACTTGTATGACAGTCGCATAAAATTCCATTATTATATTGACAACAATGTGTGAACAATTAAAACAAACAGACATAATAGATAAAAATGTCAAAAATATGGGTACAGCACTCAACATCGTGTTATAATTCTAATCACTATAAAAACAAACAAATATATCAACAAAGAAAAACAAAATGGCATATAGACAAAGCACATAAGCAAAATTGACAGGAATTCAAAAAATGACCACAGCACAACAACACATTGGTGGCATGCATAAGTACCGCGCCACGCCAAAAGGATATTACCAAAAATGGACTAAACAGTAAAGGTTAATAATTTACAAAGATTTATTTAAGTCAGTTTATTCCCATTAATAAATTTCCGCAGTATATTAATTTTCACAATTCTTGATTATTGAAAAGAAAATATCATAATGGAAACGGTAAGTGTTCTCATGGGAATAAAATATTAACAGTAATTAAGACAGATCTTTGCAGGGTATGGTCATACAATGATAAATTTCGTCTCTCTCTTATACACAGACGTTTTCCAGAAGAAATTTGATATCTTTGAAAATGAGAGACAGAAAAACCAAAGGATTATTCAAACTTATGTATAAGTCGATGCCAAACCAGCCGGCTGACAACGCTGTGACAAAAAACCGAAAAACGATCAAAAGACAAACAACAGTTTACATGGTATACAAAAAAAAATAGAAATCTAAAGACTGAGCAACACGAACCACACTAAGAACCAGCCTGATATGAGGGATGAATTCATATGCTATATCAGGGAAAGCAGATGCTGCTCCACATATGCCAGTTGCACTCGTCATGTTGCTCATGTAAGTACTCCTTGAACTCGGTGATAAGTCAGTTTATCTCATCACAGAGGGGGTGGACAGGGGGTACCCTTCTCCCACCGCCCGCCCCCTCCTCCCATCTCCCCCCTTCCGCCCCTATCTCCCACCTCCCACTTTTAGAATCTTTTTTTGTCTCCCACCTATTTTTTGTCTCCCATCTCCCGCCCCACCTTTCATCTCCCTCAAAAGCTTCCACCCCCTCATCACAGTTCAAGTAAGCTAATATCTGAAATATTTATCTAAACACCCAAAGCTAAGAACCAGGGATGAATTCATATGCTATAGCAGGGAAAGCAGATGCTGCTCCACATGCCAGTTGCACCCGTCATGTTGCTCATGTAAGTACTCCTTGAACTCGGTGATAAGTCAGTTTATCTCATCACAGAGGGGGTGGACAGGGGGCTACCCTTATATCTAAACACCCAAAGCTAAGTTTTCAAGTTACACCGTGGCTGCAAACATAATGCATTCCTTTTGTACATGCAGTCCGGCTCTCGAATCATATATGAGGTCGTCACAGCTAGGTGGGGTGGGTGTTTTCATTTCTATGCATTTTTTTCTCTATTCATTAAAAAAAAACGCTTATTCTGTAAAGTGGAACATACCTCCTAAAATTGTGACCATATCTTGACAATTTTCTCCTACTATGATCAATGATTTATTTTATTTATAAAACCGCACACTTCGTTATTCTGCCGGTTAATCATTTATTTCTGTGATCATGCAGTATGTGTTTAACCTAGGACTATTATAGTAATATGCTATGTCCTAGGTTTAACCTTACATCATTCTTATTTTTACACAATTGTAAAATGTTAGTAACCCACCCTCTCGTTTCTCTATTCTTTGTATTTCGCCCATTCAGTTTTGTAATTATAACCTTTTTTGCCCAATTTCTCTTTTCTTTCATTTTTGGTCAATTATTTGGTATTCTATAAATCCCATCCAGGTAATAAAAAAAAAAATAAAGAACGAGAATGACTTTAAATATTTGTGTATTCTTTTATAATCATTGTTTTTTTATGTTCAAAAATGTAAATTTAAATGTTGGTTTGTTGGAACATAAAAATCAACACTTTACCATTCAAATAATAATCATGGCCTCTATGTTGGCGAGAAAGTCTCTAGGCCTATCAACTTTGGCACGACGATTAGCAGTTCTACCACGAATTGCTTCTCAAAGATGGCAGTCTGATGCACCCGCAGCTACGCCAGAAAATGTGACGGCTATTAACACAACTAGCGATTTCAAAAAAGTTCGATTTACAATCGAAGAACCGAGTCAAGCAGAACTTGGTAATGACATCCTTCAAGGTCGTCGCCTTTAGGAAAGGTTTCTGTTTCAGAAACCTGTATCTCTGTCTTGTTTCAAAAAAAGAAAATCCGAGACACACAGTTGATCCTTTTGCTTTACGTCGCAGAGCTATTTTTCTTGTGTGATTGCCCATTAACAGGTTGGGCACTAGTAACCCACCAAAATTGGTAAACAGTTCCATAAATAAGGGTAATCCGAATACCCAAGGCGCCTATAAAACTATTTGCTAAGCAGATAGTGCCTTGAATTTTATTTGGTCTAATACAGGTAATAATGATAATAAGGACAATGACTTTGAGATACATGTATGTCGCAATTACTGAATTAAAAGGGGTGCCTATAAAGCAGAGCTGCCAAGTCTCACGCATTTTCATGCATATTTGGCGGCATTTTCCTTTGATCTATTGTTTTTTCTCTTTGATCTTTACAATTTTGGCCAAATCTCACGCATTTGCTTCATGAAAACTTGGCAGTACTGATAAAGTTCGAAAGGAAATAGAAACGAAAAGAAACGAAACGAAAAGAAACAAAACGAAACGAAATCATGATAAAACGAAATCAAATAACGAAACGACATCAAATTACGGATCACTTTAATTAATTTTTTTTAATCTATTTAAAAACAAAACTTAAAAAAGATCATAAAATACTTAGACAAATACAATATTGTATTACTAGTGTATGTGCCTTATTGTCTTTATATATATTTATCTTAAAACTTTTGAAATTATTTGCTATTGATTTTAAAAATACTTCGTTGATTGAAATTATACTGATTTACTTTGATTGTTACTGGCACTTCAAAACTTTATATACTAATCCAGACCCAGCCTCTTTGCTTCAAACATAAATCAATCAAAAAACTGATCAGGTTAGTTTGATTTACGACCTTGCTTTTCAAATCACTTTGAAGTTCCATATTCCCACAGAAGGGTGTTGATCACGTGACAATTTCTTGATCTATAAAAAATATATATATTCTGAACTCCAGACACATGTTTAATGTTAAAGAGAGTAGCACATGATGGATGAAAAGCACGAAAAAAGGTATGATATATTTTAAGATCTTTTCAATTGTTAATCCCGCTACGCACTACGCTACGTTGGTTACTATTTCGTTTCGTTTCGTTTTATGTTGACTTCGTTTCGTTTTGTTTCTTTTCGTTTTGTTTCGTTTCTTTTCATTTCGTTTCGTTTCTTTTCGTTTCTATTTCTTTTCGCACTTTATAGGCACCCAATTAAAAGTACAATTTAACTTCAGGAATATGATTTTTGTTTAATATGCAAGTTCCTTGTATAACAGTAATTCCAACTCAAATTAATTAGTAGATTTTCATACTGATTTTTTAAAAAAATGGGGTGGGTGGGAGGATTTTAATTTTTTTATTTTTATTTCCTCCAAAATGTGGCATATATATAGATATAGGAAGATGTGGTATGAGTACAATGAGACAACTCTCCATCCAAGTTACAACTTATAAAAGTAAACCATTATAGGTCAAGGTACGGCCTTCAACACGGAGCATTGGCTCACACCGAACAGCAAGCTTTAAAGGGCCCCAAAAAATTACTAGTGTAAAACATGTTCTTCAAATGCAAGGGTAATAATAAGCTTATATCATGTATATATAAGGAATTTTACATAATTTTTCAAATTCTTAAATAAATATTTCTGATTGGCAATCACTGTTCTACATGTAATTGCAGCTTTAGAAACCTATTTTCAGTAAATAGCAAAAACCTGGAGAAATGCTCTCTTTTAGACTATCTACATCAAATTTATTTTGCTTTCTAAGCTACATGTATGGTTTGTCATGTTTGTAGTGCTCATAAAATGAATCATTTGTATACAACACAAGTATAGGGGCCTCGGTGGCCGAGTGGTCTAAGTAGTTACTACTGTAATCACTAGCCAGTCAACACTGAGGTTGTGAGTTCGAACCCCGCTCATGCGGGTGCACTCGACTCCAATCTTAATTGACTAGGATTGTCAGTTTTCCTATCAAAGGTCGGTGGTTTTCTCCGGGCACTCCGGCTTCCTCCACCAATAAAAACTGGTCGCCACGAAATAGCCCAAAAGCGGTGCTTAAAAGTGGCATTAAAACACCAAAAATCAAATCAAAATCAACACAAGTATAATGAGTACAGAGTGAAATGAAAACTCTAAAACTGTGTTGAAAATACTAGGGTTGATGCTTTTAAGATTCTTATGCAAGGTGCAAATATAATTACAATGTAAAACATGAACTTAACCAAAAAGAAGAAGTTGTTTAATGACTCTATTGATGGGCTGGGGACAGAGGGTGTCTGCTGTTTGTCAACAAAAAAACCAACAGCCTTGGGGTAAAGCGAAGGGCTTGCTATAATACATTTTGTACGTTGGTCGACTTTTTGTACTCAATATACAGTCATAAATCGCACAAGTTTGTGCTTGTGTCAATTTCTTTTTTCGAAGGCGTGTTTTTTGTACCAATGTGTTCAACAATTCTTGTGCTTTGAATATCATTCACAGTCCAAATTTCCTGATACAAAGTCATTGTATAAATAAAGAAATCCACGGTCTTCTAATCACTGAAATTTGTGACATATCGCGCACGATTTGTGTTCTTGGACGCCGCCTATTACTGGTGACCCTAATATTTCATGCCCTTCTTGTTATCAATCTCTATTCTTGGAAGATAATGTTGTCATCATAGAGCAGCAGAATATGTCGACTTAATCATTTTGGTTAAATTACATGAAGAAATACGAAAAGCGAAATTTGCTACAGGAAGTTTTGAATGAAAAGAATTTACTGGCGGTTACCGGTAACAGAAATGAACAAAATCCGGAAATTGTAAATTTTTGAAATTAAAAAATTTCAAAGGGGCGGGCGGGGATAAAAATCTATCAATTAGTTTTATATGGCCTAAGCCAAATGTAAATATTCTAAAGGTACAGAACTCTAGTTAGGAAATTACATCCGCCATATACATGATATAAATAAGTTTGTGTTGACACACAATTTGAGCAAGAGTTATTGCCCTTTTGTCGCCATGTTTGATGTCTCTATGCACAAATTCCTATCATAAATCAGCCAAATTCAACTTGTTATATTGACCACTAGAATTAAGAAAAAGTTTTTTCTGAAATATTTTAATTTCTTTAATCCTTGCAATTGCTTATTAAATCCATCTCTACAATCTATTATTTTCTTATCAGACTTGTTTGTACAGCAGTCTGCACTCTTAGCAACTAGATTGATGTCCGTTTGTACAGCAGTGTGCAATGTTTGCCACTAGTCTGATGCCCGTTTGTACAGCAGTCTGCACTGTTTGCCACTAGTCTGATGCCCATTTGTACAGCAGTCTGCACTGTTAGCCACTAGTCTGATGCCCCTTTGTATGGCAGTCTGCAATGTTTGCCACTAGTCTGATGCCCATTTGTACAGCAGTCTGCACTGTTAGCCACTAGTCTGATGCCCATTTGTACAGCAGTCTGCACTGTTAGCCACTAGTCTGATGCCCGTTTGTACAGCAGTCTGCACTGTTAGCCACTAGTCTGATGCCAGTTTGTACAGCAGTGTGCACTGTTTGCCACTAGTCTGATGCCCATTTGTACAGCAGTCTGGACTGTTAGCCACTAGTCTGATGCCCAGGACCAGTCAAATTTTATTCTGACTAGAAAGTATTTGCAAAACTTTGTTTAGACACATAAGGAAAATGTCAGAATATTGGTTTTCAGACTAGTAGTTTGAAAAGATTTTGGCGCAGACTGGTACAGCATGTATCAAATTGGTTAGTCAAATAAGAAAATCAACCATTTTCACCTCCAAAACGGCAACCAAAGGAAATAACTCAACCTAAATAAATCTATTGACACCTACATGTAGCTGCCGAACTAAGATCTTATTTTCCTTGTGATATTTTTTTTGTTACAGTCTTAATTATCAATCTTACCAGCTGTATAAGACCATATTAAGAAGCACATTCAGAAAATATCAAGATGCTTTCATGTTTTTAGCAGGTTTGGGCGCTTTTGGTCTTCTTGGTATTTAGGGTAGTTAATTTGGGGAACTTATTGGCTTTTTCCCATATTTGTTGGGTCACTTGTTCCCTATCTGTAAGTGTCTGTAAAAAGTAATTTTCTAGGAAAAATACATATTTGATATTAGTGAAGCAATTTCTAGAATAAGAAATCGGCACTTTTGAGCAATTTTACCGCAGTAGTGTCCATTGGACATAATCTACTGTACAATGTTTTTGCTAGCATTAATGAGTATAGCTTTGAATTATATTTATTTCAAAGAATTATTTTGATTGATAAAAATGATTACTATTTACAATTCATAACCAAACTACAAATAAGATTTAGAGATGTGAAGCAGGATAAATACCTTCAAATAATTAACAATAATTTAATTTGCGTGACATCTTTATTTGAATAAATGACAGTATTTGGAAATAAATAACCATTGAAAAAAGGCAAGAGAGAGAAAATTTTTTTGTTCTATAATGCAAAGGTATTAAAACATATTTCTGTAAGAAGGAAGTTGAGTTTGGGCATGCTGGGTCAATAAACAGAACGAAGGGCTATTAATAATTGTCAATATGAAAAAAAGATTGTGAAACAATAGTGCCCTTTTTCTGAGTCTCTGCACCTTGCACTCAGTTTCCTCCTTAAGACACTGCTGTAATTATACATCTAGTATCAAATGTTCATTCTTTTTCAAGTTATTGTAACATGTTTTTATTTATTCTTTTTTTAGCTGATCTAAGCATGTGGTATAAGATATGCTATATTTTTACGATACCAACAATTATAACTCTTGGATATTATGCTTTGGTGGTTAATCCAGAAGAGGAATCAAGACCAGAGTTTATACCCTATGACCATCTTAGAATTAGAACGAGGGTATGTATTTTTTTTTATATTCAAACACATTGTACACCTTCCGTTTAAAGGATATTAGCCACATAAATCTCATACTCTTTAGCTATTAATTCAATGTTCTCAAACATTTTGTTTTTTTCATGAGCAGTACCTGAGGTACTCTCAAGCATGTTGATCTATGGTCAAAGGTTGATTTTTATGCCCCCGCTGTAGCGGAGGGGGCTTTAGTTTTACCCTTGTCCATCTGTACGTCCCTCCGTACGTCCCAAAATTGGTTTCCGTTCTCTAACTTTAGTTTGCCTCAACCAAATCTTATGAAACTTATACAAAATGCTTATTACCACAAAACGCAGATCAAGTTTGAATTTTGGAGGTGTCACTTTAACCGTTCTAGAGTTATGCCCCTTTACAAATGGAAAAATTGCTGAATTTTTCGTTTCAGTTCTCTAACTTAAGTTTTCCTCAACCAGATGTTATGAAACTTATACACAATGCTTATTACCACAAAATACAGATCAAGTTTGAATTTTGGTGATGTCACTTTAACCGTTTTAGCAGTCAGGGGACTTATTGAAATAAGTGATTTTTAAATCACTTATTTAAGTAGCAAATTCAAAGTTTTGTCACAAATTGTGATTTTGTAGTTTTACCAAAATTTTAAACACATAGGTTAAGATAATATCTTTTCATTAGTAAAATTGAAAAAAATGAACTTTTTGCTTCTTTTAAGCAGCAAGGTTTATGCCTTTGATGCAGTCATTTAGCTGCAAATTCTATTTTAGTTGAAAAAATGCTATAAAAATGGCTTTACATAATGAACTAATACTTTCTTAACAGATTTTTCCTAGCAGTGGGAGTATTTTTCCTGTAAAATTCAAGGTTTCATCTTATAGGTTATGTAATAAAATTCTACTGTTCGCGGGTGTTGAAATTAGTGGGGGTTATTAAAATAATGATACTTAAAGAAGTGATTTTTTGGAAGGAAACTGAGGTATGATACTTAAACAAGTGATTTTTATGTCATTATCCTAGATTTAGTACAAGATCATCACCTGACATGACCGGTCATCCTATCAACACAGATGTTGGTTCTGATAATTTTAGCAACATAATTAGTCCCTGGATCATTAGTATTCTATATTTAAAGCTACAATGAAATTAAATCACTTAGTCTAGTGATTAATTTGTACTACTTAAATAGGTGATTATTAAAGAAAGACAACTCTTACTTCCAACCTTTATGGACATAATGTTACTTGAATCAGTGATTTAGAAAATCACTCATTTAAGTAAGTCCCCTGACTGTTTAGAGTTATGGCTGTTTACAAGCATTGACAAGTGGAAAAATTGCTGAATTTTTTCGTTTCCGTTCTCTAACTTATGTTTGCCTCAACCAAATGTTATGAAACTTATACACAATGCTTATTACCACAAAACTCAGATCAAGTACAAATTTGGGTAGCGTCACTTTTACCGTTCTTCAGTTATGTCCCTTTATAACTTTATATGAAATGCAAGCAATGGCATCATCTGTGTCCATGGTATTTGTGTCCCATGGACACATTCCCCATTTAATTTATTTTAAATTCAAATGATCTACATGTATGTTGGATTTTTACGCAGAGGTGCATTTCTTCATGTAAAACCAGACTTCAAAATATATTGATATGCTGTGTAAATACTAGAAAAAAATGTGCATAAGCTGATTTTCATTCCAATTATTGTAAGACCATGTTCTTTTGTACACTTCTTCCATGTCTTCATGATCGGATTTTTATAGGTAACAGAAAATAGTAGTTATATTTAATTACCATGATTACACTTTATTAATTTCATACAACAAACGGTTTTTCTGACTTTTAAATTGACTAAAATTTAAAAATATACAAACTTGCTTAGTAATAATTCTTGATTCCTTTTCCCTGTCTGGATTTGTCTATACTTTTTTCCTTTTCAAGTTAATATAAGATAAGGAGATATGGTATGACTGCCAATGCAATCAGACACCTATATATCCACCAGAGACCAAATAATGTAGATTTTAGCAACTATAGGTCATGGTACAGCCTTCAACAATGAGTAAGACCCATACTATATATGCTATAAAAGGCCCAGACATTACAAAATCTAAATTGAGAAAGCAACAAATGAAAAACAAATATGATATACAGCAACAAATTACAACCACTAATTACAGGCTCCTGATCACTCCATTGACTTGGGACAGACACATAAAACTTTGCAGGGTTGGTTTTTAGGCAGTTAAGCTGCCTTATGCGAGCACCCTAGATTTGTGTTCTACCCAATACATGCTGAAATACGTGCCATTGTTATTATCTAGCTGGCTATTATGTTATTTATAACTAATTGGACATTTTTTTAATACTTTTATTTCTGGAATACAAAAAATATGACCAGAAAAACCTTAAATGATCGTCGAACTACCCAAAACTTTTGAAGTTGCACATAGGAAGTAGTGCTCAATAGAAATCCGTACGTAGTTTATTATCCCCTGTGCTTTTGGCTACGATGTCAAAGAACAATTGTATGAAATATTTCATCGCCGAAAATCGGTAATTACAAGTCGTTTATATTTCCCAAATGGCAAAATGCGCAGGAATATTGTTCATGTACAACAAATCTCTATGATAGAGGAAATAAAGTTATATAAGTGGGTGGTAATTTCTAACTTATCTTGCCAAATAAGGTTGTTGTTATTTTATGAATGAAACTAGGTCATGAAAACAGATACGGAAATCGACGTTGATGGGATGTTTTAAGTAATGTGGACAACTCGTCCCCGAGACAAGTCGGACCGAATCCACTCAAACCGTCTTAAGAAGACAACTTTGACCGTTTGTCAGATTTACTTAGGGTTTCATAAAAATATGAGACTAACATGTCTAGCGGAGCCATTAATCTTTTGTTTGTGCATTGTGGTCTATTTAGGGGTATTTGGAGGGGCCTCAAGAAGGGAGGGGTTTACTATAGAACCCTATGGGATTTTTATATTTTTAAATTTTCAAATGACTCAGTAGGTGATAGTCACATGCAGTCTTCAGTAATGAGAACAGGACAATACAAAAAATCAACCAAAATATAGGGTGAGTCCCTGGGGGTCATCCCAACCCCCTTCAATTTGAAGATGTACTTTTATCTTGTAAACCGTCGCGTTCCCCACCCCTAAACAATATATATACTTGAATGGGACAATAAAAGAAATCAAATGAAAATAATTTGGGGGAGTCCCCAGTACCGTCCCACCCCCTCCTGTTTGAGAACTTGGAAATAATCAAGATCCCCACCCCTAAACCATATATATTCATGTATGGGACAATAAAACAAATCAAAAATGAAATATAGAGTGAGTCCCTGGGGTCACCCCACCCCCTCCTGTTTGAGAACTTGTAAACGGTCGAGATCCCCACCCCTAAACCATATATATTCATGTATGGGACAATATAACAAATCAAATGAAATATATGGGGAGTTCCTCGGGTCACCCCCCTCCTGTTTGATAACTTGGAAATGGTCGAGATCCCCACCCCTAAACCATATATTCATGTATGGGACAATAAAACAAATCAAATGAAATATAGGGGTAGTCCATGGGGTCACCCCACTCCCTTCTGTTTGAGAACTTGTAAACAGTCGAGATCCCCACCCCTAAACCATATGTATTCATGTATGGGACAATATAACAAATCAAATGAAATATAGGGGAGTCCCCGGGGTCACCCAACCCCCTCCTGTTTGAGAACTTGTAAACGGTCGAGATACCCACACCTAATATATATTTACTTGAATGGGACAATAAAAGAAATCAAATGAAAATAATTTGGGGGAGTCCCCAGTACCGTCCCACCCCCTCCTGTTTGAGAACTTGGAAATGGTCAAGATCCCCACCCCTAAACCATATATATTCATGAATGGGACAATAAAACAAATCAAAAATGAAATATAGAGTGAGTCCCTGGGGTCACCCCACCCCCTTCTGTTTGAGAACTTGTAAACGGTCGAGATCCCCACCCCTAAACCATATATATTCATGTATGGGACAATATAACAAATCAAATGAAATATAGGGGGAGTCCCTGGGGTCACCCAAAGCCCTCCTGTTTGAGAACTTGGAAATGGTTGAGATCCCCACCCCTTAACCATATACATTCATGTATGGGACAATAAAACAAATCAAATGAAATATAGGGGGAGTCCCTGGGGACACCCCCGCCCCTCCTGTTTGAGAACTTGTAAACAGTCAAGATCCCCACCCCTAAACCATATATATTCATGTATGGGACAATATAACAAATCAAATGAAATATTTGGGAAGTCCCTGGGATCACCCCACCGCCTCCTGTTTGAGATCTTGGAAATGGTCGAGATCCCCACCCTTAAACCATATGTATTCATGTATGGGACAATATAACAAATCAAATGAAATATAGGGGGAGTCCCTGGGGTCACCCCACCCTCTCCTGTTTGAGAACTTGGAAATGGTCGAGATCCCCACCCCTAAACCATATGTATTCATGTATGGGACAATATAACAAATCAAATGAAATATAGGGGGAGTCCCCGGGGTCACCCCACCCCCTCCTGTTTGAGAACTTGTAAACGGTCGAGATACCCACATCTAAACCATATTTATTCCTGTTCATCATTTCAAAAAGATTTGAATGACACACAGGGTCAATCTCCTTGGTGTCACATATGCATATCACTTTACTAGACCAAACCAATATGAACTGGACTTTGCCCAATGTCAGGAGACCATGGGAATGACGAATTATGGGGGCTTTGTTTGGGAGACGTCGTAACGGCATCCTGTTACAATTATTTCTTGTTTATTATAAAAAAAATTTGATGCAAAAATGAGTCTAGATTATTGAATTTACTTTAATTGTTTATTAAATTATTTCTGGGCCTATCATAATTTTCATTTATGGCTCATTTTAAAGAAAACATTTAAATCTTTCAAGCAGTGTAAAGCCCAAGAATGTTTGACCAACTGTTTTATAATCACCTGTCATTTTATTCCAAACTAGGTATGGAGTCACATCATGCACTTGGGGATGAAGATGGAGGTCATTTACATTGATATATGAGTTGCTTTTGAAAACCTTGATGAAATATTAATTAATTTTCCTTAATAATCAATTCATTTATTGAACATAAATGTACAATATACGAATGTTTAATGTTTGTTCTTTCAAATCTAAAAAAAAAATTGAAGCAACATTGCCACAGTTTTCATAATTACGTTTGCCTTGGTTTTTGGTTAACTGCCTACAGCGCTTACAGTGCTTTGATTTTTTTCACACATGTATTAGGTTTTTGATTTTAAATTATTTTTGCCTCAGCATCACTGAAGAGACATTGTTGAAATTCACATCTGGTGCAGTAAAATTGGTCCCATCTACATATTTAATGTGGTATTTCTGTTTTTCAGATTTTCCCATATCATGATGGAAAGAGGAACATGATGTATAACCCTGAAGTGAATGCGTTACAAGATGGCTATGAGTCACCATCAACTCATGGCAGCCCATATTAAAGATAAACATTATGTTTGTGATACACAAAAAGAACTTTTCAACAGAAATTTGAACTTTCCTTTTTTATTTTTTTCTGTTATAGAGAATCTGTATTGAGGTTGATAGACCATTAAAGAAATACTTGATACAGTTGTTCAGTGTTAATACTAAGATTCTGTTAAAAGTATAGCTATAGTAGTGTAGTTTTAATTTGGTCATTGCTGCTATAAACAGTTCATTTTAAGAGGTGTTACAATGATAAATCTGTGGTATGTTGTTTTGCCCCTGTTGGTAGGTCTTTGGTTGTTGAAACTTTGCACAAATGTTATATAATGATGGATTATCTCCCTTTTAGTTTCCTAGATTAAATTTTTCTTATTTTTAAGGATATTTGAATAAACACCAAAGGTATGCAAAATATGTAAAGATAGTACATTCAAAGGGGAACAAAATCAAGAAGACATTACATGAACAAAAGTCTAATCAAAAAGCAATAAGATAGTTGTTGAGACAAGAATGAGTGCAGAAATGGGTTACTCCACATAAGTATTGATGGTTAAAAAAAAAAACGATTAAAATATTTTCTCTCTTCTCTGTTTGATGCTTAACGTAGCTCAAACATTGTCAAAAGTATTGTATCATGTGTATGACCATAACATTTGAGGCTCTATTGATGCTAACGCTGGCAAAAAAGGGGTATTTGACGCTTGATAATGAAGGCCATTTCTATCCTCAAGAAAAAATGTATACTAATAGCAAACACTTATAACCAAAGTGTTGAATAATGTTTATTTCAACCAACATGACCAAACTCACTGATAACAGGTGCTCCTGAAGGGTTATGTTTTATATGCCAATAAACAGAAGATACCAAGAGGACAATCAAAAACTATAAGTTGAAAAATACAGACAATAACACAGTGCTAAAGACTGAGCAACATGAGACACAGCAAAAACAGAGACTGAACTTGTTAACATAACTTGAACCAGTGGTCAAAACTAGTAACACATCTTAATCATTAAGGGTGAAAATCGGTAAAAAAAAGGAAGCATTTATGTACATGTATAAAATAAGGAGATGAGGTATGGTGGCCAATGACTATCCAAAATGATGTAGATATAAGCAATTATGCAGAGTTATTTATGACGTACTTTCCTGATAACTACCAAGCATTTTTAAATGGTGACAAAACATTCAGGGATCACCTTGAAATATAATTCGTCGGTAGTGATGATATCAGCTGTTAAAGGACAGTGATAATGCCTCTCAAGAACCAAACATTTAAGGCACAAACCAATTGTGATAAGAATACATTATACACAGCTGAAGTTTGTTTTTTTGCTTATTTGCAAAATAAAAAAATCACTACCTGGAAGCGAAAACCATAATGAAAATAATTATCTGTGTAGTGGAAGTTTCATTTTGAAATGTTCTATGAAATTGTGATGTGTGTATGTCCAGATATGATGCACATCTTGTTTTCTCCCTTGTACTCGTGTATTTCATTATAGTCCATTGGAAACTATGTTTGTTTGAAGTGAATCTTTAATTTCTTCACTTAACAGACAAATCAAATATATAGTGATAATTTTGTTTTCTCGAGAATTTTGAGGAAGTAGATATAAAGATAAGAAGATCTCCATATATTGTTACACAGTGATTTTGCTAGCGCTCGTCATTTTCGTATCTATAGTCACTTTGTCTATTGTTAAAGACTTGGCCTCTATCTGTTCTTTAACTGTTCTGAAATCGTTCGGTTGTTGTCTCATTCACGTACATACAACATTTTTTTTATTCATAGTTGATAGCAATCGTGATGGGTTATTATTAGAAAAAGAAAGAAAAAAACACTTAAATAAAGGCAACAGTAGTATACCGCCGTTCATCTTCGCTAGCCAAGGATTACGATCCAGTCCCCTCCTTTGGACTGGATCGTAACCCTTGGCTTTCGAAGATGACCGCTGTTCAAAAGTCATAAATCGTTTAAAACATTAAATGTTTTTGATTTTGCTGTGCACTAGATACTAAGTTAGCTGTTTGGTACTCAATGTGGACAGTTTCTTCAGTTCCAATACATCTTTTTGCTCCGTTTCTTGAATTTTCAACCTGTATTTCAACCGTTATTCCATGATCGATACAGTGAGTATCATAGTGGTTTTGAGAGAGGAAAACAAATAGTGTGTTCTTCAGGAGTCTTAATAACATGATACTTCAGCTCCAGTTTTGAGCTTTGTTGGTTAAACATTCATTGCTGTACTCCGTAATGCGGTTTATGCATGTGTTTTTCTTATTTTTTGAAACCATGGTATTGCGTTACTTTAGTCTAAAATCTTTTCAAATGAAATAACACGTTTTACATTTCGTGCGTCCCATGCAATTTTCTGTATTTACCTCCATTACACAGAAACGTCCAAAACAAAAGATTCTTATTTCTTAAAAAGTACAATGGATATTTGTATATGAAGTATAGGTCAGAGAAAGGGGTTTCATTTTTAGTACACAAACTGCACAGAGTAACCAATTTGCATCCATTTTGCAAAAGAACAGAAGCAATTTTAAAGGTTTTCTTATAGACTAAAACTATAAAAGACCCAGACACGAAAAATGTGAAACAATTCAAACGAGACAACTAACGGCTTAATTAATAAAATACAATTAACGGAAAAAATAGTTATTACAGACATGAACATACGGCAACCACTGAATTACAGGCTCTTGACTTGAGAGACATGCACAAAATGTTTGTCTAACTTTATACAATGGTTTTATAACACAACATAAGAACAAACTGTCAAAATCAGTTGCAAATGGCTAGGATGAAATTTGAAAAAAAGGCAGGACAGGAGTTTTGAGTAAAAAAAAGGCAGGATGAGCAACTTGGGGAAAAAAAGGCAGGATGACAATTTATATGTAAACAAAGTCAGGACAACATTTTTCATCCTAGCCCCCCCCCCCCCCCCCCTAAAATCAAATAGTAGCTCCCTAAAAGTACTACTTAAAAATGTTTCCCAGACTAAAGAATCAACAGTATACAATGGTGGATAACATTAATAAAATAAATCAAGTCGGTTGTAAAGGCCCCAAATGCATTCGTTTTCGTTCATACTTTCCTTGCAAAACTCGGACCAGTTTGGAAAAAAACACCTTGGAAGTTTGAACTGTAGTATACGTAAAAAAAACCTTGAATTTAAAGTGAACTAGGAAGAAACTAGACGTTGTTTAAACACTTGCATTTATTTAGAAATACGTAACAGGAATCCCGAATGAATGGTAAAGATATGTCGTGGGTTAAGTTGTTAAGTGAATTCATCTTTTATATTTCTAATGTTTAAAGTGCGTCCAGGTATACTGGACTCTATTTCAATCCTCATCATTTGACCTTTTCTGTCAGGTAAACAATTCAAATATTAGCAGAACTGTTTCATACCTTGTTTCTGATTTATTGTGGTAATTTTCTCAGTTTGATATAAACTGAGTTAAATCATTGGCGCATTATAAAGAAGATAAAACATTTTTTTAATCATAAAATATAAGTCCTCCCCATTTTCTGCATAGAAAGTTTTAGATTCATCCTGCCGTCTGATTGTGTGCCTGTCTGTTGTTCTTTTTATCCGTCCATGTTCCTTTTTTGTAAGCAAACCTTCTCTTTAATGATGTAATAGATATTGATAAAACTGTACACCGTTGTAGAATACTATATGATGATGCGAAAGAATGAATAGTATCACTATTATATATGTAGTTACTATAAAAAGGAGATAATCTCACTAAATAAATTGAGATTTGCAATATGTGGTAATAGTCTCTTGTAAGCCCGACTCCTCCTAACCGGTCCGATAGATATTGTTAGAACATAACTCGAAGATCACAACGTACAACCGACCCTTATCATTGTGTTTGAAACCCGACAGAAATATTCATTTACTGTTGTTGTCATATATCACACTTTATATCGCACTTTTCTAAAAAAAAACCAAATTCTTCATTTGAGGAATTAAATGTCAGTTAATTGTTTCAGTAAATTGTTTAGTGTCGAAAAATATCATATTAATTGATAACTTATACTGTTTATTTTGGGTTTCATGATGTTTGTTTATTTCCAATTTGCCATGCTGAATGAAGTATTAATATAACAACAAATAATAATTGCTAATACATAAGAAAAAACATGTACAAATAGTATGCGAAATTGAAGCAGTCTTATTTTGGGGAATGCCTTTTTCGATGAACTAGTAATCCTTTACCTATATCAATGACCAATCACGGGCTGTCTACGAACACGATGGTATATCCGCATGCATTTTAAATTAAGCGGTAACAGACTGGGGATTTTAGTGATTTTGGTTATGTATATTAAAGTGCCTATTACTTGAATATTTGTAAGTAGTATCCAACTTGTTTTCTACAAAATAAGACACTTATGCTTATATGTATTATAAAAAATCATTTCTTTTTACAAAAGATAATATGATTTTATGAATCAATTAGAAAAATAATATTTCATTGAATAGATATCCATTCATAAATTTAGACTAAATTTGTAAACCAGAACTCCAATGAATTAAAGACATTTTTATTAAGGAGAACATAAAATGAAATTCATACTGACTTTCTGATACTCTTTAAGTATACAGCGGTGCGTGATCGTAGTCGTCGGGTTTTGAAAAATGACAAAGGTCGGTTGTATGGTATAAAAGAGAGGCGAAAGATACCAAAAGGGACATTCAAACTCATAAGTCGATAATAAACTGACAACGACTTGGCAAAAAAAAACATAGAAAAAAACCCAACCAAAAGATTTATTGCTACATGCTCGTTTTATTCCCTTTTTGACTACAGGTTTTGTTTTAAAGAAAAGTAGTTCCGTAATAAGTTTTAACGTGATTACCAAGAAAATTAAATCAAAGACTGTCTGCAAATATGGAACATGATTTCCCCTAATTTTATACTTTTTTTTTGCTATGGTATTGTCAGATCGTTTTCAACATATGAGTTTAAATATCCCTTTGGTATCTTCCGCCTCTCTTTTTCTTACATTTATAACTTATGGTGTGGTAAATTGATTTTAATTATTTTCCTTGTGAAAGCAAAATAATGCCAATATGAAATATAACCTTTCTCATGCCACGTGTAATGCTGTATAAGAA